AGATTTTTTTTCCACACAGCTAGATGTCTTAGCATAATTAAACTTGATCAGTGTGACTAGCACAATAGCACGGACTGCTTGAATCATGCCTGATTAAAACCGTAACAGTAGAGTGAATGGAAGCACAAAGTCCTCGTTCCAGAGCTGCAGGTGATAAAATGTAGGTGAGAAGATGACACCATGGCCCAACCAGATGCAACATTTCCAAATGTTAGTAAGTTCCTTATTTTTAAGCCATATTCTGGAAGCTAGGTGAGGCTACTATCCCTGTTGTAACAACTATTTCCCTGAAAAGGTGTTACAACTGCAAATCAAGTCCACAGATGAAAATCAGGGGATCCAAAAGTGTATCTATATAACCCTAATGGATTTTCTAGTTAAAATTCCTGCCAGGGACTGAAGTCACACCAAAAGCAAGGAGCCTGCAAGGCAAGCTCATGAAGCACCCACCCAGTGCCACCGGTAACCATTTCACAGCGCTGCTTGTTAGTTAGCTCCTACCTCCTGGTGAGAATTGTGCCATAGCTCCTACCTTGCAGCAGCCACTTGGCACAGCATAGCACTGATTCTATCAGGCACATGAAAGGCACCAAATGCTATACCAGCACATAGATCCCATCAAACTACACTGCATGCATTCCTTTCTTCATGGGAACACCCTTTCTGGGTCCTGGGCTCCACCCTTAAATGCTGCAGGCAAGATTGCTGCAGGCAGGGTGAAGGAGCTGAAGCCTGCCCCTGCCTCCTGCCTGTCAGGGAAAAGGCTGCTGAAGCGTCTGTGGTTGCCATGGGAGTAGGGATGGCAAGGGCTGGGAGCAGAAGTGAGTAACAGCACAGAAACTGCCTCCCCGCACAGCTACTGCAAACTACAAAACATAAAAGAAACAAGCAAACAAACAACACAGAAACCTCCCACACCCTGCATTTTGAGACAGCGTTTCTCATCTGCTACAGGTCTCACAGTTTTCTTCCAGTGCCTTGTAAGGCCCTAGAGCACACACGGTATCTGACACGGTGCTGCTCCCTTCCACCATGAGCAGAATTTTGTAGGACGAAACACAGAAGAGGCTGAAACCTGGGGCCTCTGTTTGCACATTCTTAGTACTAAAGCATGTAGCATTGTGATGGGACCACATACAAGAGTTAATGTTGTACCCAGTGGGATGCAAATCAAATTAGGTAACTGCTTGCACGCCTGTTTAAAAAGCAAAGAGAAGGAAGTGCGTGGGCAAAGTTCACATGTACCTGTGGTCTGTCATGTCCCGGTCAAAGAGAATCCTGGCCAATCCCTGAATTTCCACAAATAAAAGCTTACGACAGAAAAGAGGAGGGGGGAATATAGATATGGGCTCTTACAGCTGTCAGAAAAGCCTAGTAATTTACACTAGCTAAGATACAGGGAAAAAATACAGATTAATAGCACTTCTTGGGATACCCAGGAATTAAATTCTTTCTTTTTTTAGCAAAGCTTCCCTCTACTGGAGAGTGATTTCCTTATGATTCTCTTCTCACACAGACACAGCAACAGAAACACCACCAGTGAAGTTCAGGGAGTTACGCTATATTCCTATAAACAAGAGGATAATCAGATCCCTCCTACAGTTCTCACCCAGTTCTTGTGACACTGTGCCTTTCTCCATTGTGAATGGCCATAAGCCTCTTTAATAGGTAAAATCTGAGAGAAGAAGAGGATGGCCCAAAGGCAGAAGTTGATAGAAAAATGTCACTGTGAGCTAAGCAAGCCCACAGGAGGGGAGATAAAGCACTGGAAAGATATTTTATATGACCTGTGGGCTTAGGAAAAATCCTCAATTACTTATTGACATTGCTTGTATAATTATAAATAAACCCTTTGGCAAGTCAAATCTTATGTTTTCTCACTTGGGAAGTCAGTCAGTCTATGTGGTATGTATACTCCCTCTTTGCAAACAAGCATGGTATGACACCACAGAACTGTCGCAAGACAAGGTACAGCATTCCCTGATATTTCAACTTTACATTTCATTTCAAATATACTTCTCATCCCTACATCATCCTAGCTCAGTCTTCTCACCAGAAAAATACTTCCCATGACCCTGAGGAAGTAGTCCTCTACAACAAACATGCAGACTCACAAGGCCTATGTCTTGAATTAGCTGAAGAAGCCCATAGCTCAAAGTCCAGATTCAAGAACTGGTTCTGACCACAGTAAATATTTGTCAATGACCTTCATGAGAAGATCATCTGATGACATATGATGCTGAGAAAGAAAGCACTGCAGTCAACCAGACTGTATCAACTGTCCTATGACTCACGATCAGTTTGTCCCCAACAGATAAGGAGAACTCAAGAGATCCTGAAAACAACAGAGCTGCAGTAAGAATGATACCACTCTCTTCCTAAAAGAAATGCAGAACAGTTGCATATAGTATTAATAAAATCAGCCAGTAACTTCATCAGGGCAAAGTGCGTACCAAATCAGTTAAAAGATACAACTATACACTCAGTTTCAGCAG